TTATTATTATTATTATTATTATTATTATTATTATTATTATTATTATTATTATTGAGACAAGGTTTCTCTATGTAGCCCTGGCTGTCCTGGAACTCACTCTGTAGACCATGCTGGCCTCGAACTCATAATCCTCATGCCTCTGCCTTCCAAGTGATGGCAGACATGTCTTTAATTCCAGCACTTAGGAAGCAGAGGGCTTTTAATGATTGCTGGCTTGATTACTGTCTTAGTTAGGTTTCTCATTGCTATGAAAAAAAAAATGCCCGGCAAAAGCAACCTAAGAATTTTGATTCATAGTTCAAGGTTAGCGTCTATCAGGAGCACGAGGCAGCTAGTCACCCTGCATCCACAGGTGGGAAGGAGAAAGAAGAACGCTGGAGCTTGGCCTGCTTCCTCCTTTGTGTTCCATCCAGGACTCCAGGTCAAGGGATGGTGCTGCCCACATTTAGAGTGGTTCTTCCCTCTTAATTAACCCAGTCTAGAAACTCCCTCATCTGTGCCCAGACGCTTGTATCCATGGTGACTCTAGATCCTTCAGGCTGACAGTATTAGCTCTCAGCATCACTGTTGTCTCAGGAATGGTGAGCGCTGCGTCAGCCAGATGTAGCGGTGCACACTGGGATGCAAAGCAGGGGAATGAGTGTGAGTTCACAGGCAGCTTGGGCAGCACAGTGAGTCACTCTCTCAACAAACAGGACTGGGAAATCCTCATGGAAAGGGAAAAGATCTTCAAGGAAGTCAACATTTCCCAAGATAAAAGTCCTGGAGTCACTTACGCCCCCCACCCCCACAGGACATGTGCTGCGGTGTGGCAGGGCTTAGCTCTGTGTTCCATGCTCCACAGCACAAAGCATGCAGTCTCTGTCTGCTTTTGTGTTTGCGACAGATTCCTGCTCTGTAGTCCAGGCTAGTCTGGTTCTCCTACACAGCCTAGGCTTGTCTTAAACTTGTGGCAATCCACCTACTTCAGTTTCTCAAGATATGAGATTATAAGCATGGCAGAACATGTAATCTTAAAGGCATAGTGCATACCAGTGTGGAGAAGTCACTGAAGTATTCTTCAGAGGCCAGGTGGATGCCAGGAGGAATGCCAGGCTCCTCATGTCAGCAGAGCCTCTGCCAGACACACCTGAGCCCCTCTGTTTGTATTGGTTCTTCAGCCCTTAGCCTGGGGTCACCCTCTGTAAAGAGAGAGGGGCACTGATTGGCATTCAATGCCCCCAAACACAACAACCCTCCCCCCAGACACAACATAAGCTATAGCTACATGACACACCCATCATTCAAGGATGGTGTCCCTTGCTTGCTTACGCAACAAGGCTTACCGGGTTGGAAGAGCGCCTGAACAGACACCCACAAAACAGGTGATGACAACCTCATTTGAGGCACAGGAGGCCAACATTTGTCATTGATGGTTCTGGCAGGCCAGACTGGTAACGCACTTGAAGTCCACAGGGCCTCAAGGTTCCTGGTGGCACTTGGTTCCATCCAGAATCTGGGAGGTGTCCCTCCTTAAAATACTGATAATAGGGAGCCTCTGATCCCAAAGCCCTTCTTGTGCATGTCGCCCAGGAATGACCAACCAGGGGATCCACATGCAGGCCCGGCAGACTATCATATCCTGTGACAACTCCCACTGGAAGACTCTCTTCAGTCATATCACGCTATCTGGTGGCACTGGTGCCTTCGCAGGCCTACGATTGCGGCTGCAGGATGAACTATCAAAGCTGGCCCCTCCAGACATCAGTGTGAAGGTACTGGCCCGAGCCTCACCAGGGGCATTCAGGGGTTGACCCATGGGTAGCTGTAGAGTGGCTAAGGCTCCAGGCATTGTTTTTTTCTGTTTGAGGATGCACCCAATAAGGAAAAGTGACAGAAGCCCTTGGCATTCATTTACATCTATGTGTCAGTGTGTATGTGTATTGATAACAAGCTGAGCTGGTTCAGGAAGACTGGGAGATAGGAAGGGGCTACAGTCTGCAGGAGTAGGCAATGTCAGGGTTGAGGTGCTGAACACAGAGAAGAGCTGCTCAGAAGGTGGCATCAGGGATGGGGAGCTGTGGAGAGGGGGTCAGGATGAGCATGTAGGCTCCTTTTACATTTTACATGGATTCACAGGCACAGAGGCCACGTCCAGCTTTAGACATGGGTTTCTGAAGATCTGGGCTTAGGTCTTCATGCCTGAGCCTATATCCCTAGTCTTCTCCTGAAGTAGAGCTCTACAGCCCTGGCTGGCCTGAAACTTGCTGTGTAGACTAGCCTGTTCTAGACCCTCCTCCTGCCTCTGCCTCCTGAGTGCTGGGATCACAGGTATGTGCTACCAAGGCTTCCATACCCCTGAGTTAAAACATTTTCCTTTCCACTTGGGAGAGATGACTGCCCACAAAGGTCTTCCAGGGATGGATATTGTGGCTCCCATTCAGAGCAGCTGGATTTTTTTTTCAATGAATATCTTTCTTAAATGCTTATTTTCATTATCTGCGTATGAGTGTTTGCCCCTACAGACTGATGTGCACCACATGCGTGCATTGCCCATGGAGGCCAGAAAAGGGCGAAGGATCCCCTGGAACTGCAGTTGTAGACAGTTGTAAGTAGCCATGTGGGTGCTGGGAACTGAACCAGGTCCTCTGTAAGAGCAACAAATGCTTCTAGCCACTAAGCCATCTTTCCAGTCCCCCGAAGGAGTACTTTTTAAACAACAAAACATTTTAAATTACATTTATCTCTTTGTGTCTTGATGTGTGCATGCATCACAGAGGTTAAGAGGATAACTTGTGGGAGCCGATTTTTTTTTTTTCTTCTAGTATGTGGGTCCCAGGATTTGGTAGGTACAGGCTTGGTGGGGTGGGGGTTATCCGCTGAGCCACCTCGCCAGCCCCAAGAACAGATTTTTGAAAATGACTTATTTTGTATGTGCATGTGTTTGTGCGCATGCGTGTGCTGTATATGTGTGTCTTTGTGCACACATGCTACCGCCCAGAGTGGTGTTTTGATGTGGATCTCCTCCTCCCTCCAGGTGGTCGCCTCTCCGTATGCCAAGTACAGTGCCTGGATAGGTGGCTCCATCTTGTGTTCTCTCTCTGTGTTTGAGGACATGTGGGTCAGAAGCCAGGAGTATAAGGAAATTGGCCCTTCTGTTATGTTTAGAAGAAGCTTCTGATCTTTCTCCCGGGGCCAACATCACCGTGCCCAGGGTGAGCCTCAGCGTTGCCACAAACTCACAGGAAGACCCCCTCTTTTCCTGGAGGATAGTAAAAGTGTACAACACTCGTTCACTCCGCCCGGCTGAGTGGCCCCTGGAGCATCCCAGTGCAGCAGGTGCTGGTTCTTGTCTGTTAGTCAGGATAAGTCAGTGACACTCCATAACAAGCATCCCCAGCTCCCAGTGTCACAAAGGGTGCTTTGCCAGTCACCCTGCTGCCTGCACCCTGAGGTAGGGGTCATCACCCTCACTTGGGGCCTTCCGCTAAAGCAAACACCACCCATGCGCAGCATTGTCACAATTAGGAGTTTCTTAGTACGCTTTCTTTTGCTCTAACAAAACACGGGATACCTAATCATTTATGAAGAACAGGGGTTTATTTAGCTCACAGGCTCAGGAACATGACACCAGCCTCTGCGAGGGTCATTCTTGCCTTGTTAAAACAGTGCAGAACATTGTGGGCTCAGAGAGCAACATGTAAGCTTGACTCTCTTCCGCCTCCTTTTCTCCCTCCTCCTCTCCCTCCTCCTCTTCTTTTTTTTTTTCCTAGAAAAAAATTAGCTTAATCAGTAAAAAACGGAATTGAGAGTTAGACTTGACAGGCTGTCAGAACTGTGAGGCATCAAATTTGCTATATTTTAGCAATTTTTTCCCTTTAGATTTTTACCTGCTATCCTATTTCTTTTTTTTTAAACTTTTTATTGATTCTTTTTAAGTTTCCCACTCATCTCCCCATTGCTTCCTATCCACCCTTTCCACCCTTGCAACCTCACCCCCAAAATAAAACACACACACAAACAACAACAAAACAAAGCACAGAAAAACATCACCTCTCAGAAGCTGTAGTGTGTCACAGTGTGTCCCATTGTACATTCCTCTGGCAGCAAGCAGGTGTCTATGGCCCGCCTGTGCCTGTGGGTGTCCCCAGGCATGGCTGTCCCCAGGTCTCTGTCTGTCTTCCTCCTCCTCTGCTGTGCTCCCTGAATTTTATTTAATTCGATTTGATTTTTTTACGAGTCCTAGACATAAGACAGCTTTGGCCACCGAGCCAGGCATGAAGCTAGGACGAGCAAAGGGCTGCCACCTACTCTGCCCCTGACAGATATGAAAACACCACCACCAAAGATGTGTCTCTTTGCCCATTGCCAGGCGCTCTCTTGTTTGTTTGTTCTTCTTCTTCTTTGTTATTAAGAGCCATTTTATTTTTATCTTTCCCCCACATAATATTTTTATTGATTATTTGAGAGTTTCACATCATGCACTTCGATCACACTCACCTCACAGTCCCTCCCATCTGACACGCAATAAGGAAGACTCCTCTCCCCCCGCCAGGCTGTAAGAAATATGGTCCAGTTTCATCTGAGGTGTGTTTAGAGCTCCCCGGAGAATCACAGATAATCAGGAGGCACTAGCTGTCCCCCACATCTTCCCTAGCTGGTAGCTGCTTGTCTGGGCTTTCAGTTCATCCTAGGCTGTTTTCCCCATAAATATTTGCATCTCTGCCAAGAAGGGCTCTCACACCTGCAGTGTCAGGTCTCCCATGGGCTTATTAGAAACACCCTGGCCCAGGCCACCAATTAAGGCTTCTGGAGGAAGAACCAGCCTCTAAGAGTTTAGTCCCCAGAGGCTTTGCCCCTTGAGAAGCCTAGATTATAAATCCAAGTTGACAGTTTGGGATGAAATCCCTGATTCTTAGAGCCGACCAGTAGATGTCACCCTAACACTGGTCACCAGATCTCGCCCGGCCCTGTCTGCGTAGCTGGTGAAGGTCTCAGGTACCTCTGAGGGGAATCTCAGGGATCACCTTGCCTGTCCATGCCCCTGGGTGGTCAGCTGGCTTGAAGGAGGAAGATAAGGAGGGCACAGTTCATGTTTGACATTTAAGGAAGGATCAGGTCTAGGAGACAGCCTGTCCTTGACAACTCTCGAAGGTCAGAGACTCTATGAAGGGAGTTGTGCTGGAAGCTGGGGACTGGGTGAAGTCAGAGAAGTCAGGGTGGCTGGAACCCGAAGCAGCTGGCCACAGCACATCCACCAATAGCAGAGAGACATGATTGCATGGGTGCTCAGGTACCTCTCTCACTCAGGACACAAGCCTAGAGAATGGTGCCACCTGATTCCAGGCCGGGACTTCCCATGTCAGTTAACACGGCCAAGACAGTCTACCACAAACAGGTTCACCGTCCAGCTGATATAGACAATCCCTCACCGAGGCCGAGTTTCCAGGTAAAACTGTCAATTTGGCAACCAGAACCAACCATCACATTTGGTGTCCTCAGGCAGAAGGCAGCTCCAATCACACCAGGGCATGCTAGACAGGCAGAGGCTCTGCAGAGCCTACAGCATCAGTGGTATTGGCTGCTGCTGGTTGTGCTGGGATGGTGTGTACCTTTTACACAGTCGTCCTCACTGCACACCTACTAAGCGTGAACTGCTCTGACCAGGCTGGAGCTGGAGACACGGCAGCCCTCTCGGTTGGGTTTTACCAGGAAGCTGTTTGGGACATGTGTAAGCCTGTGAGGGGGTGGCTGTGGGAGCGCAGTGGCTCTGGCTGGTCTCCTGACAATCTCAAGGTGAACCCTTGGGACTCTGAGGACCCATGCTACTGCTAGCATGCTCATAGCACGGGCGCTGGCTTCTTCCCTTGGTGCTGCTCAGGCATCTATAGAAAGTCCTTTGATGGCATCTCCACAGAGCCATTTTAAGATTTTGGTTTCCTGTAAGGACTGAAATGGGTCTGGTCTGCTGGGGCGTGTGACTCTTTCCTGGGGAGATAGGAACAGACATGGCTGTTCACCCCACATGACACAGCACTGGCAAAGCAAACCATTCTTTACGTGTATGGGTGTTTTCCGTCATGTATGTTGCATACCATGAGAGCATGAGAAAGCCAGAGGAGGGGGTTGGATCCCATGGAACTAGAATAGCAGTGTTGAGCCGCCATTTGAGTGCTGGGAATTGAGCCAGGGTCCTCTGGAAGAGCAGCCAGTATATTAACTGCTGGGCCATTTCTCTAGTCCTAATTTTCTCATTCTATTCAGTCTAGGACACCAGCCCCATGGGATGGGCAGCTCACATTCAGTATGGGTCTTCCTACATAATTAACTTAATCTAGAAAATCCCTTACAGACATGCCCAGAGGTGGCTTGGGGCAAGCTGGAGGGTGGGAAGCAAGAGAGTAAGGCAGGAAGACAGGCAAGACCCATAAGCATAGTGATGTCTGGGTAGTGAAGTGGGTGACGCCTGGGCCATCCAGTGCTTTCTTTGACCTCTTTGGGTCAGATAAACATCCTAAGAGCACAGTTAGTTTCAGCAACTTCACACCCCTGGCCCCCTGTGCCTTGGCCTCCCTCTGTAGTCAGCAGCTCATCTCAGCAGAGGTCCACAAAATACAGATTTAGTGAAAAGTCACAGGACAGCTTGGGACCCTCACCGAGGAAACCTCCCACCTGACCCTGACTTCAGCCCTGGAGGTGGGTCCCATCACCTGCCATGCAGGTGTCTGGGTGACTAGCTGCTTTCCTCAAGCTGACGTAGGATGTAAGTGGAGGAAATGTGGAAAGGGAGGAAGCCCCTTACCCTGGGACATGGACTACCTTTCCTGCTGAGAGTCATGACACAAGAACTCAGCTGATAAGCCAAAACAACCTGCACAACAATGTGTGTTTTCCTAAAGCCAACAGCAAGGATGCTCGAAAACAACAACAAGGTAAGCCATGCTCGCCTCCAGCCAGAACACCCCTGACCTTGAGCTTGATGCTTACAATCTCATTTATGGATCTTCAGGAAAAATAAGGCCAGTGCATGTATTTTTACTTAATTTATTTATTTATTCATTTTACTTAAACATTAAGCTTATCTTAATTTAAACCTTGTAAATTGCATCCTTAAAGGGATACAGCTCAGAAAGACACAGGGCACATAGAATCGCCTTTGTGGAATTACACCAACCTTGTAGTAGACCATTCACGGCACAGAAAATATCTAACATTCCTGAGGTCTATCGGTAGCTCACTCAATGTTAGTTATGTCAGTTAGCCAATCACTTTGTAACAAGCTTGCCCTTGCTGAATGTCACCCATCATGTAACTGCTAAGCTGGAAATTCCAGGTCCTTGCTCAAACCCCAATAAAAACGCTGCCTTGAATCTGCTTGAGGCTCTCCTCTCTGATCCACTGTGTTGGTGATAGTGGAGAGACCGAGCTTAAGCCTTGAATAAAGTTCTTTGCTCTTGCATACGTGGTCCAGCTCCTGGTGGTCTTTGGGGACACTAAGATCTGGGCATAACAGAAAGAGGCCAGAATGGCTGTGTTTCAGGGACCTACGTGGACATTAGCCTTGCTGACCTATTGGCCTCTCTGTACAAGTGAGGGTGATAGACTTGACTTCTAAGCCAGTGTTCTGCTATCAGTGACATCCCTGTGACATTTAACGACAAGCAGTGAGGCCTAAATGTTAGCAGTTGTGTTTGGGGGTGGGCGCAGGCTGGAGATGAGTGAGCACCACTTTCACAGTGCTGTTTTTGTGAAATAACTTTCTTCCATGGTGGTAGGGGGAGGAGTCGAATGAGGCTATCTACGGGTGCAGATCTGAGGACTGGGGACTACGGTAGCTAAACTTGGTTGTCAACTTGACCCACTGAGAAGACAGAGCTTCAGTGAAGGATTTACCTCCATATGATTGGCTTGTGGGAATGTCTGTGGAACTCTTTTTTTTTTTTTTTAATTGCTGATTGATGTGGAAGGGCTCCATCCACTGAGGGTGATGTCACGCCTGGTTAGGTGGTGGGTCTGGGCTGTATGAGAAAGTCAGTGAGCAGTGTTCCTCCATGGCCTCTGCTTTAGTTCCTGCCTCCGAGTTCCTGCCTTGGCTTCCTTCGATGATGGACTGAACCCTATAAGTCAAACGAACTTTTTCCTCCAAAAGCTGCTTTTGATCATGGTGTTTTATCACAATGA